TGATCAAGGTGCAAAACAAAAAGACTAAAATTGAAATTAAAACGAAAAATTTAATAAAATAAATCAAAAGTAGAGCAGCAGGTTGCGCTGGGCTGCTGCTGCTGTCGCTGCTGCTGCAGCAGCAGCCTCGCTGCAGCAGGCAGCAGCAGCCTCAACATGGGATTGCACGGAAGCCCCCGCTGCAGCTGAAAGCCGCAGCGACGGGCATGAACAGCAAGCAGCAGATAGGCGAGCGGCAGCCACTGCTGCTGCTGCTGCTGCTTCTGCTGCTGCTGCTGCAAGGGCCCCCCAGCGTCGCAGCAGCAGCAGCAGCAAGTTGCTTCCTCCGGTCCGCCAGTTTCAATGTGGGCTCGGCAGCAGCAGCAGCAGCAACAGCAACAATAAAAATAGCAGCAACAGCAGCAGCACGAACAGCCAGTGCTGCAGCTGCTGCTGCTCGTCTCCCGCCCAGTGGAGCCAACAGCCGCAGCAGCGTGCCTCCCCTAAGAGCAGCAGCAGCAGCAGCAGCAGCAGACTTGCTGAACAACGCCGAGTGGGAGAAGCAGCTGCGGCTGTTTGGAGTTGCTGCTGCTGATGTTGCTGAGTCTGTAGTCCGGGGCAGCGGGCCCGGCGGCAGCAAAATAAACAGCAGCAGCAACTGCTGCTGCCTCCGCTGCAGCAAACTGAAGCTGCAGGTGAGGTGCCACACATACAGGTAAGGCGCTGCTGCTGCTGCTGCTGCTGTTGCCGCTTGCTGCTGCTGTCGCTGCTGCTGTCGCTGCTGCTGCTGCCGCGTGTTGCTGCTGCTACTGTTTGCTGCGCTGCTGCAGCAGACCAAGCTGCTTCTGCTGCCTGCCGAAGCTACTGTTGCCGCTGCCGCTGCTGCTGCAGTTGCTGCTGCTGCTGCAGCAGCTTCTACTTTTGCTGCTGCTCCTGCTGCTCCCACAGGCCTCTCTCCGACAACCGCCGAGAGGCCCGGCGACGTTTCTTGCTGCTGCTGCAGCGGAAGCAGCAGCAGCAGCAGCAAGAGCAAGAGCAACAGCTCCAGGTAATTGCTGCTGCTGCTGTGGCTGCTGCCGCGCGTCTTCGCCTTGGCTGCTGCCTGTGCTGCAGTTGCCATGTCTGCTGCTGCTACTGCTGCTACTGCTGCTGCATGGACTCCAGAGCTGCTGCTGCCGCTGCTACTGCATCGATTCCAGTGAGACATTGCTGCTGCTACTGCTGCTGCTGCTTGCTGTTGCTGCTGCTTCTGGGGTGCATGCGCAGCTGCAGCTGCGGCAGCAGCGGAGGCCGACGGAGCAGCAGCAGCAGCGCGTCAGGGCATGGAAAGCAGCAAGAAAGAAAATAAAGCAGCAGCGGCAGCAGAAGCCCTCTTTGCTAGACTAGCTGCTGCTGCTGCTGCTGCTGCTGCTGCTGCTGCTGCTGCTGCAGTGCTGCAGAGTAGATGCTCGGGTATTGCTGCTGCAGCAGCGGCCGCCAGGAGCTGCGGCGCAGCAAAAAAGCTAAATCAACGCCAACAGAAGCAATTGCTGCTGCTGCTGCTTGCGCGCGTAGTTCTGCTGCCAGGTTGCTGCTGCTGCTGCTGCTTCTGGCCGAAGCAGCGAAGTGATGTGGGAGCAGCAGCAGTGGCTGCTGCTGCTGCAGCTGCAGCAGCCGCAAACGCCTGCGCAACAGCAGCAATAACCGCAGCAACTACAGCAAATAAGCGTGGCTTCCGGAGGCAAGAAGCAGGCAAGGCTAGGGTTTAGGGTTTAGGGTTTAGACTTACAGGGCCATCTTTGCCCGCAGGCGAGTCGGGTGGTTTAAGAAGACGTCTCTGATAGAACGCAAAACCCTAAACCCTAAACCCTAATCCCTACCCGCCTGTTTAGGGTTTAGGGTTTCGTGCCCTAAACGCTAAACCCCAAACATCAGTCAGCGGATGGCCCTGTGCGAGTAGAGGGTTTAGAGTTTAGGGTTTAGGGTTTAAAGCTGGTGCGTGGGGTTTAGGAACTGCGGCTAGTCCGCGAGGGTCTAGGGTTTAGGGTTTAGGGTTTAGGGTTTACCTTTCAGTGGCGACTTCGACGCACATGCCGCAGCCCTTGAGGGCCAAAGGAGCAGACAAGCCAAACCCTAAACCACAAACCCTAAACCCTAGCAGTCCAGATCACATTAGTTGGAAAGCAGCAAACCCAAGTCCGGCCTCAAGCTACAGGGCTAGGGTTTAGGGTTTAGGGTTTAGGGTTTACGGAGGGTTTGCTGGGAGAAGCTTCTGTAAACCACAAACCCTAAACCCTAGCAGTCCAGATCACATTAGTTGGGAAGCAGCAAACCCAAGTCCGGCCTCAAGCTACAGGGCTAGGGTTTAGGGTTTAGGGTTTAGGGTTTACGGAGGGTTTGCTG